TCACATCTCCTCCCACCCCACTAACTCGGTATGCTAAAACAAAATGCAGGACTATGCAGCATTTTAAAGACTAACAAGATGGTTTATTAGGTGATGAGCTTTCGTGGGCCAGACCCACTTCCTCAGATCAAACAGTGGAAGAAAATAGTCACAACCATATATACCAAAGGATACAATTAAAAAAATGAACACATATGAAAAGGACAAATCACATTGCAGAACAGAAGGGGGATGCAGGAGGGGGAGGTAAATGTCTGTGAGCTAATGGTATTAGAGGTGATAGTTGGGGAAGCTATCTTTGTAATGGGTAAGGTAATTAGGGTCCTTGTTGAGACCTCGTGTAAAGTGTCAAATTTAAGCATGAATGACAGTTGAGAGGATTCTCTTTCAAGTCTGGTGTTAAAAGGTTTTTGAAGCAGGATGCAGGTAATCAAGTCGTTGAGACAATGCCCTTTCTGGTTGAAATGGCAGGAAACTGTTTTTTCTTTGTGATCTTGTCTGATATCTGTTTTGTGGGCATTGATTCTTTGGCGAAGTGTCTGAGATGTTTGTCCAATGTACATAGCAGACGGACACTTTCGGCACATGATAGCATAGATTATATTTCTGGATGCGCAGGAATATGTGTTCTTGATCTTATAACTCACTTGGTTGGGTCCAATAATGGTATCAGCAGAATGAATATGTGGACAAAGCTGGCAAGGGGGTTTGTTGCAAGGGAAGGTACCAGGGTTGGTATTAGTGTGGTATGTCCTGTGGTGGTTGGTAAGAATCATCTTGAGGTTAGGTGGTTGTCTATAGGAGACTATGGGTCTGTCTCCCAGAGCCTCTTTGAGTATGGTATCCTGTTCCAATATAGGCTGTAGTTTATTGATAATGTGTTGGACAGGTTTAAGTTGGGGGCTGTAGGTGATGACAAGTGGTGTTCTATTGTTGGTTTTCTTGGGTCTCTCTTGAAGTAGCTGGTTTCTAGGTATTCGTCTGGCTCTTTCAATTTGTTTTTTATTTCTCCGGGTGGGTAGTTGAGGTTTGCTAGTGACTCCCAATTGCATTCACCTACAATCCTGAATTTGCCTGTGGACTCCAAGAGGCGAATAAACACCCTTTGTCTGGCAGAGAACGTAGGCTTTGCCTTAGGACAGACTATAGGAACACATTTTTAATACACCCACAACCCTGCAATAAGTCTGCCAAAGAGAAGAGCGGGGTGGAGGGGACAGCAGCCTTCAGCTACCTGAAGGGGGTTCCAAAGAGGGTGGAGCCAGGCTGGTGTGGGGGCAGGTGGCAGAAGGAGGAGGAATGGGAAGGTCTAGGTTGGATAGTTCGGTTGGGTCACTCGGGGTGCTGATCAGGCCACTGATGCCTGCCTTCCTGCCCTCTGGGGCTCTTCACCACTCTGTCCTGCTGGCCAGAAACTCTCCCCTCTCTCAGCCATGCCACAAAGTTGGATTTACTGCCCCCCAGTAGAGTAGCACAGACACTGAGCTCAGCTCTGGGAGGACTCAGCTGTAAGGGCTCAGCAGCCAGGAAACCAATCCCCAAAACCGCAAATAACCCATTTTACCCTGGGTAAAAGTTTTACGGAGAAAGCTAATCAAGATGCTCCCTCACCTCCTTTATCAGTGGAAGAGAGACGCATGCATGGAGGTCGCTCGCCTTCCCCCAGGCAGCAATGTTTTTAGTAAGTATAAAGAGCGGGATTTAAGTGCTTGCAAGTGCAAACAGACAGATCAAAGTAAGTTACTAAGCCAACATAAACAAAACACAAGCCAGCTAAATCAAATCCACTAAGAAACTTGTCACATGCAAATTCTTACACGAAAGCTCACGATGCCATCTACATTTTTTGTTCCTCTCTACAGCTAGGTTTACACTGCAGGGCTAAATTGGAACAATAAACACAATTTGCGATATGCAAATTGCATATCTTTTTCCAATTTACTTTCGAAAGAGGCTTTTCTGAAATTTGGCATGTCTACATGGTGCCAAATTTTGGGAAAAAAGTGCTCTTTCGACATATCCCTTCTTCTTCATAGAACGAGGTTTACAGGGATGGCAAAAGAGTGTGTCCACTTTTAAAACAAAAATATTTTTTTTTGAAAAAGTGGATGCCTTCTGTGGCTGCGGCGTTACTTTTTTGGGATACCTCTGGTATCCCCCCCAAAAAAACAATGCAGTCTAGACATAGCCTAAGGTACGGCAAGACTATTTGTTTTTAAGTCTTACCTTACACAGTTGTTCTTGTCTCAGGCCAGAGTTGATATTTTTCTGACCTGGGTCCAGCAGCTTTGACTTCATTTCCCCCTCGCTCTCCCTCCCTCGGCCATGTGTATCCTCTTAAGGTGGCAATTTCAGAAGCCAGCTGAAGACCAAAGCTGATCACCTTCCATTCCTTAAATAGACTTTCCCTGGGGCAGGAACCCTTTGTTTAGCACTCATGGAAAAATACCAGAGTCAAGGTGGATTCCAGTACCGGGGGCATGGTCACGTGTCTTTATAGGACCAGCCACAGTTGGAGCTTTTAGGACTAACATGACCATCCACAGGTCCTTGGTTTGAATACTGAGCCTAAAATATCACTACTGGCCTTCATTAGCACATTTAGAACTAAAAGCAGATTCACACTTCATATTTCTAACTTTACATGTGAGAATGGTACATGGACAAACCAGGATATACAGATTCAATAGACTGTAACTTTAAAAGTATGTTACACAACCTGTTTTGCATAAAGCATCTTTGAGTTATGCATATTCATAAGCCAGTTTTCTTAAAGCGAGGAGGGGGTCATGACCATGACCTCCTGAAGCTTCTTCCAGCCCTAATCTTCTGTGAGTCTGCCCCAGAGTGGTCGTTCTTATGTTCTTGAGACTAAATATGCCTGCAGGGACAGCGAGGGGCGCCCCACTGTTTCCAGGAAGGGAGCTGTGGTTGTCACTGGCTGGATCTGAGTAAGTAGTTCTATTGCTAGTTCTGGCTCTGGGGCTTGTTCTGTTGGCACTGACAGGAGGGAAAGGCAGTGAAGGTTTGTGTTGACTATCAGCTGGAATGTACCGCTCCTGGGGAACAGGTCTGCAGGGTCTGGTGGCACTGATGTGTCACCGCATGTTCCAGAAGAGGGCTGCGCTGCTGCCTCGGCTCAGGTCTGTGTCCAGTTTACTGCTGGTGGACTGTATTCGCTCAGGTAGCAACAGGGGTCAATGTGGCACTTTCCACCTTCTGGCCAGAAGGCAGTATGGCTAGAGGCACCGACTGCCATCCATGCTTTCTCAGAGTACTCTGCAAGGCCTTTGATTCCTAAGCCAGGGAGAGGGGCGAGGAGTGCAGCAAAACACAATCACCACTCCACCACCTGTCAGTCACTTTCAGGACCAGAGCTGGCAAAGCAGCTAGGAAAACGGTCAGAACTGAAAAGAACTGTTGTGGCCGAAGTGTCAAGGGTCTGATTTGGCTCCTGTTTGAGTATAAGCCTCGGTTGCTCTGATTTGACCCCCAAGAAGTCCCAGGTCCTGGAAACAAAAGAACTGGATGGCAAAGGTAAACACTACCCATTGCTCCCTCTAGGTTCATCTCTGCGAAGTGGAGGGAATGGAAAAATTCATGGACAAAGATTTTGCTTTGGACGTCAGCTCCAACCAACCCGTCCTGGTAGCTGTGAAAATGCTGCGAGCAGACGCCAACAAGAACGCCAGGTTTGGGTTCATGTGAAGTTTGACGACTCAGCCTCCTGTTACCCGGGGCCTCTGCTCTGTGTGTTGTCCGAGAGCCTGCTCCAGAAGTCCCTTTTTCAGAAGCTAGTCAAGTCTCCTGTGTGTTCCCGAATCCATTTGGACACATCACCCTGCCCTCCTTTAGCAAGGACACAATGGAGGCAGGAGAGGCGCTCTCGGCAGCTATTTCTTATCTAGAGCCTTGGGGAGCTCCATTCAAAAGCAGCATCACCAGCCGGGGGAGTCAGGAAACAGGTCACATGTGGCCTTCCTGAGGGCGTGTGTAACTGCAGCCTTTCATTGCCAAGTTCTGAGCATCAGCCATTCATGTGTCACCCGCTGCTGGGTCAATTCCCCACCTGCCGCTTTGCACCCAGCTCTTCATTCTGGCCCCCCCGCTGTTGCCTACCTGCCCCTGAACCGATATTTGCAAGTTTGATTTAAAATACTGCCCGTGTTCAGTCCACGCCACTGGGCTTCTGCCATCTCGGCAACTGCAAACCGCACCATCCGGGCAGGCTAGGCCAGGCTCCCGGCAGTTCACAAGTTGTGGGAAAGGGGGCGGAGGGGCCTTGGCATCCGTAGCGATTTGTGCAGAGCAGCATCTCTGAGTGGCCTGCAATGCCCCCGCCACCTGACAGCGGTCTAATCTAGTTGGGCGGTGACCTCAGTCGCTACAGCAAGTCCTGTGTTCTGCATTCAAAATGGATCGGGTTGGAAGAATGCTCCCAAGAGAGACGAGTCAACCGCACAGGAAGGAGCGGGGCTTTTACAAATTAACTTCTTGTTGTTTATTTCTCTGGCTAGTATGTGGTTGTCACCGCTGCCTTCTACTTTGGAATCAGAAGTGCTCAGTTTGCAATCAGACCCTGTGTCATAGGCCTTATACAGCAGGGGGAGAGTCTCCTTTAGCTCAAGTGGTGAGGGGCTATGCACTTAGAGCAGGCAGATCTGAGTTCTGGCCTCACTGATGCCATGAAATCCCAAGTAGTCATTGGGCTGCCGCACAGGGAAAGCTGAGTAGTGCCAGGGAGCCACGGGTGTGTTACAGGTAATGGGCACAAGTCTGGGGTCCTGCAATATGAGCTCCCTGCTGCATGCACTAGCCCCCCCAGAGCAAACCCTGGTGAAGCTGAACTGGAGGCTAGACCAGGAACACGCTCACAAGAACGTTGGAGCTGAGGAAATAAAACCAAGAGACTTTTAAATCCAAGCCCTGGAAATGTGCAGAGCAGGCTGCACGGGCCCCAAACATTGGGAAGTGCCCGTCAAGGCGCCCACGCGCCTGGCCTCTGCCCCGCAGTGGGGCTAGCCTCTCTTCTCCCTCTGTTCTGTTCCTAGGGCCGGGCCCCTCCATTGTGCCGGGAGTGGCTCTGGGTCTCCCAGCTCACGCAGACAGTGGGCCAGCAGCACTGCTGCCATGGAAGCTGGGTGGGGAGCAGTGATCCTAGGGGCTACATCTAGTCCAGCTGCACCAGCTGCTGCTTGGGAAGCCCCAGGCAGCTGGCTCTGGGGACCACCCGAGCAGGACCATTGGCTAGAGAGCAGTCCCCGGGAGACGTGACAGCAGGGGCCCCAGAAGTAGAGATTCAGCCACGGTTATCTCTGGTAAGAGTGGATGGACGGGACGTGGGCTGTGAATGTTGACGTATTGCCCATGGCCCATCCGTGACCTTGACCAAAACTACCCGTGACTGAAGCTTGGCCTTCCTGCTGGGACCCATGCACAACCTGTCCAGCAGCACCTGTGGAGGTCTGAGCACACTCAGCCACGTCACGCAGGAGAGTTGGGGAGTAGCGGCTAGGTCGTCTTCCAGGCCCTTGTGCTCCTAAGGGAGCAGCCGGCCCAGGACTAACATGGTTTCCAGGGTGTAGTTCCTGGGGAGTGAGGCAGGACCCTGGCAGGTCCAGCCCAAGAGAGCTGCCGTGTGATGTCAGAGCCGTGGAGCCTTAGCGGAGGTTTCTGGAGGAGCAAGTTGCCTCTGTGCCATTTGTTCCCTGTCTGACCTGGGCCATTGGTATGTTCTGTGAGTAGCCAGCTTGCATGGGCAGGTCCCTGACTTCTCCACCATTTGCTGCTCCAGACGGACGTCCCAGGCCCTGAGCCTGGTACCCCCTGGCAAAGGTGCAGCAATATTTTCCCGCTAACATCTGCCTCTAGCAGCGGTGTCCTTTGCTGTGCAAGTTGCTCTCTGGGGGCCTTTCCACCCTTGTATAGTGTCCCATTAACTCCAGTGGCTCCGTCCGTCCGTCCCTGTGGGTCCCCTAGGTTGGCTGGGTGCGTGGCACTAGCCATGGATGACCACGCGTGCCCATGTGGTTTTGTTTCTGAAAGGAACGACTTCCTGAAGGAGATTAAAATCATGTCGCGGCTCAAGGACCCCAATATCATCCGGCTGCTGGCCGTGTGCATCACCGACGACCCTCTCTGCATGATCACGGAGTATATGGAGAATGGAGACCCTGCCCGTCCCCTACGCAGAGTCTGCCGCCCTGCCAGCATGCTGGGCAGAAGGGCGCAGGCATGTGGGAGTTCATAGGGGACACAGAAAGGGGAGGGTATGACTGGGTAGGGGAGCAGGTGAGAAGGGGGGCGACTGGCTGAGGAGTGTGGGGAGGAAGGTGGGAACTGAGGAAAGGGAGGACAGGTGACAAGAGTGGGTGTGTGTGGGTGGAGGTGAGGCAGGGGGGATTGGAGGGGATGGGGGCAAGGGGCGGGGGGCTGGGGGGGGCTGGGGGGGGGG